TTTAATGACACACGTAGCAGGAGTGGTAGACACATACAGATATTCAATACCGGACACCGAATGGACGTAGGAGACAGGCTTATAAAGGAGCACAAATGATAAAACTAAATTAACACGGCTGGAGACAAATCAACATAATCAGAACAGGAAGAACCAAATAAGGGCAAAAAGAAACACATGGGAAAACCAGGACATGGAACTCGTGGGGAGCAAAACACAGAACAAAGTCTGACATTACTCCCCACGCCGTAACACTTCCACCAAGGAGGGGGGGTGGGTGCTCTGGAGGCCTTTCAGGACAGGCTTACAGGGACGGACAGACTCCAGCGCGGTACCTGTTCCAGGACCCATGGCGGATCAGGCAGCTCAGGGAGCCATGGCGGAGCAGGCAGACTAGGAAGCCATGGCGGAGCAGACAGTTCAGGAGGCCATGGCAGAAAAGGAATCTCAGGGAGCCATGGTGGAACAGACAGTTCAGGAGGCCACGACGGAGCAGGGAGCTCGGGGAGCCATGGAGGAGCAGGCAGACTAGGAAGCCATGGCGGAGCAGGCAGACTAGGAACAAATGGTGGAGCAAGCAGACTAGGAGGCCATGGCGGAGCAGGCAGATATGAACCCTCTCTGGGTTAGACTCGGGAACTGGAGCCCTCTCTGGGTTAGACTTGGGGACTGGAGCCCTCTCTGGGTTAGACTCGAGGACTGGAGCCCTCTCTGGGCTAAACTCGGGGACTGGAGCCCTCTCTGGGCTTAACTCGGGGTCTGGAGCCCTCTGTGGGCTAAACTCGGGGACTGGAGCCCTCCGTGGGCTAAACCCGGGAACAGGAGCCCTCCGTGTGCTAAACCCGGGAACAGGAGCCCTCCGTGGGCTAAACTGGGGAACAGGAGCCCACCCGGGAGCGAGCTCTGGGGCTGAAGCCGACACTGGAGCGAGCTCTGGGGCTGGAGCCGCTGGAGAAAGGATGAGGACAGAGAGCCATTCTTTTCGCCTCATCCTCCCTCTTTTGGATTTGGGTGAATAGGGCGGCCGGCGGGCTTGGATCAGCCGTGGCCAGCGGGTTTGAGTCATCGGCGGCCGGTGGGTTTGACGTTGCGGCGGCCGGCGGTATAATTCTTCTTCGACATAATACGTTCTTTCGGTCATTGCGTTATATTTTGTAGTATTATTATAAATTTGGTTCTTCAATGCCTGTTCCTGGATGGTCGATATTATTCTTTTTTGGCATAATGCGACATTTTCGGTCTTTGCGTTAAATGTCGTAGCATTATTATAAATTTGATCAACCTTCTTGCTCAACCTAATGTGGTCATTGCATCATCGTGTTAAATGTCATCAAGTTAGCATATAATTGCTTTGCTGTGTTTAATCTTTTCCACGTTATCGTTCTAGTGTCATGCTATATTGTTGTCAACTGGTTATAATCTTGTGTTCTTGAGCCGCAGAATAGTTGAGAATAACATCTTCTGAAAATCTGAACCAAGCTACGTACAGCTAAAACTATTTCAAACACAGCTGAACCCAGTTGTATCCAGCTAAATCATGTCAAATATAGCTGAACCAACGTTGTACAAATAAAAAATTACCATCCATTTTGTCTGCATATTGTCATCGTCTTTTCTTTCTGAGCCATTGAATAATTGAAAACAATATCTTTTATATATCTGAACCGAGCTATTGACAGCTGAAACTATTTTAGACACTGCTAAACCCAGCTGTATCCAGCTAAAAACAGGAGACCATAATTGATCCAAGCTCAATGTAGCCAAACTAATGTCGTAAAAATATATAATGACCAAGAAGGCATCGAAAAGATACTGGAGTCTTGATGAAGACAAAGCCAGTGGGTTTACCATGGTGGATGATACAAGTGTAGAGTCAACAATTGGCATATTGACCTCAGTGGATTCAAGTGAAGGACAAGACATACAGAGAAAAATGTAAGCATCTAAAAAAAAGATAATAAGAAGGCATTAACCAACTCTTGGCTTCTTTCTCTATCCCGACACTAATCCACAATGAGAGAGAGAAGGAAATCCAGGTCAGTATTACCTATATAAATGGGGTGTGTCTTTAAACACGTGTCAGATTTTCATTGGCCAGAGGGAAAAAAATCCAATGAAAAGTCATCAATGATCTCAGGAGACAAATATGGAAAATTTTTCAATACAATCAATACAATCCAGTTTAAATTTTCATCAAAGAAAGAACATTTACAGGAAATACATTTCACACCATTTTTCTGTTTTCTTTTATCAAAGATGTAAAATGTGTTTTCCCTTCACTGAACCATCAAATGTTGTTTTTGGAAACAATGCGCTTCAGCAATCACTTTATATTCCATTAGGCAGAGATCAATATGCAAAATTTTCCTGTAAAGTTTTTAATGAAAAGGACTCATTGCTGCCTGAGGTAAATATTATTGTTAAGCTACAAGTACAATAACTGTTAAATATTGATTTCTGTACTCTGTAATTCAGTCTCTTCACAGCACTTCACCTTGACCTAGATAAGCGTGTAGCTGCTCAAACTTCCTTTCGTACTCCGGCTCTTGTTCAATGAATTACCATCATCAGTCACTATGCACTTCCGCAGATTGCACTGTAATACGATGTCCACTATTTCTCTATGTAAAACAAGCACATTCTATTGGTTAAAATTTATTTATTTTTTTGCTCGTGATTCCTTGATTCCTTTTACGGCAATAGATAATTTTATTGGGTGAGAATCGTATGCGATATTTCTTTGTTTGCTAATGTTTGTAAACCAACGCCTAAAGCAATAAACCTCTGAAGAAAGTTTGATCACAGCACTTCCTGTGTCTGTGTTCATTTCTTCCCACAATCATGCATTGTTTGGTAAGGGATGGGGTGCTCCTACTTACTGAAGGACAGATCACTCCATTTAATCTAACTATTGAATGCTTGTGTTGAAACAGACAGGAGTGGATTGGAGGATTGCATTCATAATGTCAGATTTTGTTGGATAGTGGTTTGAATCTTATCGCAGAATGGAGGGGAAATGGAGACTGAAAAGATGATAGGATACATGAGGGTGGTCTGAGCTGCTTTGTGCACTGATTTCACTAGATTTCAGTGTTTCTAGTACTTTATAATGCCCAAGATACTGGCGAGTCAAATCTGTTGGTTGAAATCTTTAGCTGGACCCAAAAGCAAACCAATGATCTTTTAAAGCTAATCAAATACTGTTGAGGTAATCCAACAGTGTTCCTTCCCTGTGATAATGAAGCAGATCTTGGTTTTGCATTTTGTTCTGTCCCATGGAATGACAACCTCAGTCACCATTCACTTTCATTGTGTGGAAAATGATGCAAAGACTGTAAAATGTGACTTCATGTTCTTTGAACTTTCACAGAAAAAGATTGGAATGAAATCCTTCCTACAATTTCCCGGGTCCTGTGTTCCAGGGTTATGCTTAAACTTGGGGAAAAAGTCAGTATAAGAGCCATAACGAGTGGATGAAAGTGTTTGAAGTCAAGTGCACTTTAATTTCCCTTTTACATTCATACCAATGAATGGAATCACTATATCTTTCAGTAAAACAGTGTTCAACAAAGCATTAGGGAAACTCTCATTAAACATTAAACACTCACTGCTGTCCAAACATGTTATGAGCTGTGGCACAGGACAACAACAACTGCCATTAAAAGGGGCTTTACAATAAAAAATAGTGCCAACCCTGCAGCTGTACGTTCTGAAAACCTCATGTCAGACCTACAGGCGTACGCTCTGAGGTTTGACACGAGGCTCATCATATTTTATAGAAGTTACAGTCAGTCACAACCACATACAACGGCAGTGGGGCAGTAAAGTTCTGCAAGCACAGTAAGTTACATGTAGTTCAGTGCAGCTCAACGCAAACACGGCCATTCATAGCCGCCTGCCATCTGAGCATGTGTGAGAAAGTTCAACAACATCCAATGAAAAGTAAGAGATCTCAGGTGATTTGACGTCAGAAGATGGAGGAGAAAAAAACAGTAGGGGAACTCTAAAAAAAAAAAGTTTTTTTCATTTTCTTTGAAGGGAGAACATTTAAAGGAAACATGCTTCACTCTATTCTTTATGCTCTTTTTTTTTAATCAAAGATGCAGAATATGCTTTTCCTGCACAGAATCGGGTTTTTTTTTTCAGAAACAATAAAGCACTTTGTATTATATTAGACAAAGATCAATATGCAAAACATTTCCAGAAAATGTATAAAGAAAAGGACTCATCATCACTGAGGTCAAACAAGCTACAAATACAGTAACTTTAAAAAAATGTGCTTCCAAAACTAATAAAAAATAAATGCTTCCAGTTTAATATACTGCCTTCTATTCATTTGAACATAAAAAAAATAAAAGTAAACAAAATACAAAGGCAAACAAAACAAGAAATACAGAAAAGCATTACTATGTTCTGTATGTGTATCATTTCACTGGATTATTAACTATTGAGTTTAACCAGAAAATACATGTGTTATGTGCATTGATCTCATGCTCTCACTTATAAAATTAGATTTAGATTATTATGAAACACTGAAAGAAAAAAAATACATTAACACTTTACAATAAGTTCCCATTAATGCATTAAAAATATTAATAATAAGTACATAATTAATTAGTAATAAATACATCTGTTCATTGTTAGCTCATGGTAGCTCACCTTCCATTTAATAATATTAACAGAAACTATTTTTGATAATGTTTTAGTAAATGTTAAAATTAACAATGATTAATACATTTTTTAGAAGTATTTATCATTGATAGTTCATGTTAAAAACGAATGAATGATTAATCAATGTTTTAGAAGTATTTATCATTGATAGTTCATGTTAAAAACTGTTTTTAACTAATGTTAACAAATGTGATGTTATTTGTAACGTGTTACCAAAACCATTTCATCCTTTCCTTGAAATTGTAGACTCACTCACATTAAATGTAATTAACTGATCAATAAACAGTCACATACTGCAAAACAAGTGATTCAGAAAAAGCTGTAAACACTGCCAAGAAAAACCAAACACTTCAACTCTTCAAACATCTCTCCTCTATTACATGATAAGAAACAATCAAATACTGATTTTTGTTAGTTTGTGCGTTAATGTGTAAATTTGTCACCTCTAAAATATGACATTTGTCTGTAGTCCAGGCCGTTCATGTCCATAAACACATCTGCAGTAGATTAATAACCACATGATTTAACTGGAAATTAAGACAACAAAATCACATCAAATATAAATATTAAAATGGCACAAAAGTGATTTTGTAATTTTAAAAGCCGCATGCAGCAGACAGTGTGACGTGTGCAGAAAACATTTCATAAGTGCTGATATCGGTGCAAAGAAATTCATGCAAACACATTTCAGGTGTATAAAGTGCACAAACACACCAGACCAAGACAGCAGTGCAATTTAGCATTAAGAGACAGTAAGAGAACCACACACACCCACACACACACTCTCTGGCCTTCAGTAGGGGATCTGGTTCTGATAGTACTGGATCATGTCATATGTTTTGCTCCTGGAACAAATGAAAAACATTTCATGTCATGTTATTTATGTTATAAGCACAGTTTTTCCTACTGAAACATTGTCAGGGAAATGACATGCATTAATGTGTGTGAGAGACACTGACCTGCTGCTCAGGAAGCAGTTCTGAATGACTTTGATGATAAAAGCTGCTGCTTCCTTCTCACTCACTCCAGGGTTAAAACGCTGCTTATACAACACACATGATTCACTTTATATCACACGATTCACTTCAGATCAACAAACTACAAGCTATCCATTAATTAATTCTGTTTATCTAGCCATCTTTGTTTATCTATCCATCAGCATATTTGTACTATGCTAAAAATGTCTGAAGCCTTATATTACTAGCACTTTTCATGTTTATTTGCCTCTATATGATGAATTGCTTGTTGTGTTCCTTGTTTGTAAGTTGCTTTTGATAAAAGTATCTGCTAAATGAATAAATGTAAATTAAAATATATCTATTAGGGCTGGGCAAGTTAACGCATTATTAGTGCGTTAACGCATTAATTAATTAACGCCGACAATTATTTTATCGCGCATTAACGCAGATTATTATTATTATTATTATGAAAGTCCGTTGCTCACTGGCTCTGAATACACAAACAGACAAACCATGGGTCACAAGAGGGGTGGAATGTTGATCAGTCAGTGTTTGGGATGGGCGTCATCATGCGTCTCAACCAATGAGAGCATTTGGGGTGGGCCTAACACCGGACGCGAGTGGTGCGACGCAACAAAATACTATATCAGCGGTGGCGAACTCCGGTCCTGGAGAGCCGCAGCCCTGCAGAGTTCAGCTTCAACCCTAATTAAAACTCACCTGCCTGTAAGCTTTCTAGCAATGCTTCAGACCTTGATTAGCTAGTTCAGGTATGTTTGATTAGGGTTGAAGCAAAACTCTGCAGGGCTGCGGCTCTCCAGGACCGGAGTTCGCCACCGCTGATATAGTATTTTGTTGCGTCGCACCACTCGCGTCCGGTGTTAGGCCCACCCCAAATGCTCTCATTGGTTGAGACGCATGATGACGCCCATCCCAAACCAGTACTGATCAACATCCCACCCCTCCTGTGACCCATGGTTTGTCTGTATGTGTATTATTTCATATGTCATGCTTTACATGGTAAAAACATGAAATCAAATGCATCATTTTTCCAAACCTGAAACACATGAGGATGAGTAAAGGAAGACACGTTTTTATTCAGACCCTTATTTTTTAACCCATCCCTTCCATTCTGGCATGTAAGACACACTTTACACAATCATTTTAATTCTTGATGGATAATAATCACATTTGTTGAATTTTATTCTGAATTACATCTGATTACAGAAGTAAAAGCGTCTGTGAACTGTGTTTCACTTTGTCTTGAACGCTCAGTAGCCCACTCATGTAAACTGACACTTAAGCCTTGCTGGAACAGATAAAGTGGATTTAAGAGTCTGGGAACACTGACTGTCAGTGATGTCACAGCACTGGAGTCATCCATCAGAACCTCAGACAGTTTTAGGTTGAGAAATTCCACCCTTGTGGAACCAGAGTCTTTCCTTGACAGTTTCCTGTCAGATTTTTCAGGCTAATCTTATGCACTATATAGACCAGCGGTGGCGAACTCCGGTCCTGGAGAGCCGCAGCCCTGCAGAGTTCAGCTTCAACCCTAATTAAAACTCACCTGCCTGTAAGCTTTCTAGCAATGCTTCAGACCTTGATTAGCTAGTTCAGGTATGTTTGATTAGGGTTGAAGCAAAACTCTGCAGGGCTGCGGCTCTCCAGGACTGACGTTCGCCACCCCTGTACTATATAATCCATTATAATCAGTGATGCTGTCTACACTGGTTGCAGTGCGACGCGACAACATACTACAGAACCCATTATAATGAGTGATGCTGTCTACACTGGATGCGGCGCGACACGACAAATCCCAGACAGTAAACTGCTGCCTCGTTCTATCTATAACATACTGACACTAAATTCAAATGATTTGCAACGGTCGCTTTGTCGCCTCCAGACTAGACAGACTTTAGCTGTTGCGGCGCGGCGTGACAACTGTCGCATCCGGTGTAGACACTGCAACCCCTTATTTACACTGCACACATCTGCACGGCTCCGAAGAGGTTTTGTTCCGTCCTCCACGCGGTGCCAACTCACACCAGGAGCATTTCAGAACCGAAGCGACAGGATTCGCGAGACCATGTGATTTGCTTGTCCGACGTTGTTTGTCTTGATCATTTGTGTTCTAACATGGCTAAGTTGTCTAAATGTTTGTTTTGTCCGGTTTAATTTGGTTTATAGTTGTATTTATTGTTATGTCCTACTTTGTTGTGCTGTAGACTACAAAGTTAATACACTTAAAAGTCCAGTTATTAAAGACAAGGATAAAAGATTTGTAGCGGTGTATAGTCGTCTAAAACACATCCTCAATTATCTTGTATCTAAAAATAATACATTTTATTTATAAAGCACTTTACATGTTAAAGAAAATCTCAAAGTGCTACAAAAAAAGTAATAATAAATTAAAACAATTAGAACAATAAAAGTAATTTAAACATTAAAATTTTTTTTAAAAGGGTAGGTTTTTAGTCCCTTTTTAAAACCATCAATTGTTTGTGGAACCCTCAGATGTTCAGGGAGGGCATTCCACAGCCGAGGGGTGGCGGCACCGAAGACTCGGTCCTCAATGGTGCGGGTCTTAGTTCTAGGGGTAAGGAGATGATGAGTGTTTGTGGAGCGGAGGGAACGTGCTGAGATCTGTGGGGTAAGGAGTTCTTTAAGGTAAATGGGGTCATTGCCATGGATGCACTGATATGTGAGAAGGGAGACTTTGTATTCGATCTGGGCGGAAATGGGAAGCCAGTGTAATGATTGAAGAATTGGTGTGATGTGTTCGTATTTACGCACTCTCATCAGGATCCTAGCGGCACTGTTCTGTATGTGCTGGAGTTTTTTGGATACTCTTGATAGGGATCCCAATGAGAAGAGCGTTGCAGTAATCCAGTCTGGAGGAGACAAAGGCGTGGACGAGTTTCTCAACATCAAGTAGGGTGAGTGTGGGACGAAGTCCGGCTATATTCCTGAGGTGGTGAAAAGATGTTTTGCAGAGATTTTTGATGTGGGCCTCAAAGGTTAAATGAGGGTCAAACCTGACACTGAGATTGGTGACTAATGGTGATAGGGGAATGTCTTGACCAGAGAATGTAATGCAGGTTATGGTGGATGTTCTGATCTAATGAGGGGAACCAATGAGGATGGCTTCTGAGCTGTTCAGCTGGAGAAAGTTATGATTCATCCATGCCCTTATCTCCTCCAGACAGGCAGTAAGTGTGGGTAGAGTTGTTGATAGTGACGATGATGATGATGAATCAATATCAGTTTTCATATATAGTTGTGTTTCATTGTTTAGCAATGGAAAGAAATTCCCAAGCGACTGATGACTTTACAGAGGGGAAAGCATGTAAAGAATGAATAAAATAGGTCCGAGAACTGATCCCTGTGGAACCCCGCAGGGCTTCCCATGGCCACAAATTCAGATCTGTCTGTGAGGTATGACTCAAACCAGCACAAGGCGGTGTTAAGTCCAATGAAGTGGTGTAGCCGGTTAAGAAGTATACCATGATCAACGGTGTGGAACGCTGCAGAAAGGTCCAGGAGGACGAGGAGTGATGATGAACCAGCATCAGCTGTCATCAGCAGGTCATTTGTGACTCTCACTAAGGTTGTTGTTGGCGGAACGGAAGCCGGACTGAATCTTTTCAAAAATGTTATTGTATTTGAGGTGGTCCTAAAGGTGGCTGGCAACTTTCTCCAGAACCTTAGAGAGAAATGGCAGGTTGGATATGGGCCTGTAATTAGCAAGGGTTTGAGGATCAAGGGTGGGTTTCTTGAGTAGTGGTCTGATTATGGCCGTTTTTAGGGCAGATGGTACGTGGCCAGCCTGAAAGTATTGGTTTAATATCATGGTGATAAGGGGACTGATTGGCAGAAATATTTGCTTTCACCAGAGCTGTAGGGAAGAGGTCGAGGGCACAGGTGGAGGATCTCATCCCCCTGATGGTGTCCTCAACCTCATGTTGAGTGACTACTGGGAAGCAGCAGAGCAGCCTCAAAATACCAAACTGCGGGGTTGGCAGTTGGGGCAGATGAGGAGGAGGGGACAGAAAGGAAGGAGCGAATTTTGGCAAGTTTGGTATTAAAAAAAAGGTCAAGAAATCGTTGAATTGTTCTTTTGTAGCTCCTGTGAGCGGAGCAATTTGAGGTTTAAGGAGATGATTTATGGTGGAGAACAACTGTTTGGAATTGCCAGGACTATTTTGAATAATGTTTGAATAGTACTGTGACCGTGCATCTTTGATGGACTTCAAATAAGCTTTTCGGTGGTCCCGATAGTCCAGCTTGTAAACATTAAGTCCAGAAGCTTTATACCGCCGCTCAAGGGCACGTCCAGCTGCCTTCATTTTCCACAGGTCACTTGTGAACCATGGGACTGAGCGGGAAAACATAACTGTCCTGGCTTTGATGGGTGCATGGAGATCCAAAATGTTGTTCAATGTCTTATTGTAAAGTTCCACAGATTCAGTGACTGATGAGATATTTGCAAAATGGAGATGTTAAAGGCTTGAGGTCAGATTTTCTGTGTTAATGTTTTTCAGATTTCTAAAACGTATTTCATGTTTGGGCTTGATGTAGGAAGACAGAAAAGGCAGCTCAATGGAAATGACCGTATGGTCAGATACACCAAGATCATACACAAATGGTGCACTTAGAGGGGCAGACTCCGTAATGACCAGATCGAGAATGTTCCCCTTGATGTGTGTGGGAACATCAACATGTTGTCTGAGGTTTAAGCAGTCCAGTAACTGCAAGAATTCTGTAGCAAGGTGGCAAAAGGGGTCGTTGACATGAATGTTAAAATCTCCAAGTATTATATTGGAAGAGGTTGCACAGAAAGTTGAAAGACAATTGTACAACTCTAAGATGAAGCATGAATTTGGTTTGGGTGGCCAGTAGATTAATAGTACTGTCATTGGGAGAGGAGGCTTACAATTAAATGCCAGACATTCAAAGGAAGACAGCTCAGGGAGGGCCAGAGGGGACAGATCCAGATGACTGCGATAGATGACAGCCAGGCCACCACCACGGCCAGTGCTACGGGCTTTTTGGAGATAACAGTAGCCAGAAGAACAGGTCTCATTTAAAACAGAAAAAACATCTGGTTGATGCCAGGTTTCTGTGAGGCACATTATGTCCAAACTTTTGTCCCGAATGTGATCATGTATGAAGCAGGATTCATTTTGTGAGGGATTATGTATTAAACAGTTCAATTTTATTGTTGGATAAAGCAGTAAGTCTCTGCACAGGGCGAAGTAGGCTGAAATCCACTCCACATTTTTTGTCTGGCTCCATATGTGGCACTGTTGCAGTGTCTCCAGTGCTACTAATCCATAGAGTGTCAGTGCTCTGATGACGTGGAAGAGATGCGACAGGGCGCACAGCTGCCCAGACAGAAGGGATGGCGTCACCGGAGCAGGAGTAAGCAAACTTTCGCAGAGAGCTTCTGTGGATGTAACGGGGCCGGTGTAGGAGTCCAAGTTCTTTAATGACTGATATGCATGATGGAGTGTTATATTCCATCAATTGAGTGGCCGTGTAGTTCATTATGCCAGTCACACGGGCTCCACGTCTGTTGCTGGCCGCTAGCCACAGAGGCAATGTGCAGGGCAAGAGAAGAACTCGGCACCAAAAAATCATCCGGAGAAATCGAGACTAGGAGAGGTGGATCGTGGTAAGCACCAAACTACACAGCTAACCGCAGGCACTTGCTACCAACCGCTACCAGCCAAGTGGAGTCATCTGAGTCGGTAAGATCCGTACAACAGACCCAAATATTATTCTGATGGGTTTTACTAATTACAGTCATTAACATAAAAAAGTAGTGCCAGTAGTCTAACGTTGTAACTACTGTAGCAGTTAAAACTCGAGTGGAGAAGCGGCGAACAGACAACGCCAGCGTCCTCTCCCCAACCGCCTACTGTTTTTCCTATGTATCTATATTTCACACACCATTTATGGCCTCCTGGCAAGGATATAGTGATGTGAAATAAGATCGGGAGTCCGCGCAGGGTGTTTATTTTGAAATTGAGAGGATTTTTTGACTTTTATTTTGTATCTATTATGCGACTTGGACGTGGCGTCCGTCAAAAATAGGTTAACGTTCTTAGGATCGCAACGAATGACGGCACGTATGAGCCTCCCTCAAGACGCACCATCACAAGAAGAATACACGAGTTGTATGAAAAGGAGATTTTAATTTGATTGCATTAATGTTTACATTGAGATTTACAAGAAAAACTTTAACTGCTAATATGTAAAGGGAATACTGCTGTAAAACCTTATTTGTTTAAAGTGTTTGCAAACCTAATGTTATTGCACTTTTGTTCATACAGCAGTACTTTTCAAATAAAAGTGCACAATACACTACTTTTGAATTCATTATTGAATTTTGCTCATAACAATGCAATTATTTGCAATTAATAACACAAAAATCATGCGATTAATTGCGATTAAAAAAATGTACGTTGCCCAGCACTAATATCTATAATCTAACGCCATATCAAAATAATAATAAAGGCTAAATTCATGACAAATTCGACAATTTTAAATAATCATAATAATAATAATAATAATAATAATATTTCAATGAACTGCATACAATAATTTAGCTATTATCTCTACAAACTAACAAAATATTAAAAATAAATAAGTAAAAATAATAATAGAAAAAAATAACATTAACAGCCATATAAAATGTCAATTTGACATTTGATAAAACATAAATAACATTCTTCTATCAATAAATATCTCATCTATGTGTGTGTTTCTGGAGCTTTTCTTAACATCTATTTTGATACTTTTTAACTCATTAATTTTCCATGTTCATAACAAAAAATATATGTACATGAATATTGATTTGTGTTTATTACTTCAAAAAGTAATAATTGATCTCATTCAATTCCATAACTTGATACCATAGCATAGCATACCATACATTTTTTTCTATATAAATGAAATATATTTTCCAATATGAATGAAATATAAATCTAATTTCCCTTATGCTCCACTGTTAGTTGTTGTGAACTCACTTGAGCAGTTTGATGGTCTGACCGCGGAAGCAGGGCAATCCTGTATCCAGCATCAGTGTTACCAAGGCAACCACAGCATCCATATACGGCCTGCAGCGTAACAGAGATTCATTCAGTCTCTCAGTTTCTAACACACACACTCACACTCACACACACTCACACTCACACTCACACACACATCTCACCTGACGGCCAGGTATCCGCGCACACACATCTCCATGAACCACTTGAAGGGCGTGGCCTCCATCTTCCCGCCCATGATCATCACCATCTCATCGGTCAGTTTGATGTCCGGCTCCCAGCCCAGATTCCCACCCGGAGAACTCTCGAACATGAAGCCGAAATCTGAAACACACGCACACATAAGAAACACACATGATAACACAGAACAGAGACATTCATTCTTAGATGTCTCACCGATGTGGATGAGGTGGCCCTGTCTGTCCAGCATGATGTTTCCATTGTGTCTGTCCTTGATCTGCAGCAGGAAGAGCAGCAGACTGTACGCGGCCATGCTACGGATGAAATTATACCTCGCCTGATGGACACACGAGAGAGAGAGAGACGGAGAAAAAAACAATCAGAAAACCAGTGTTCCTCAATGCTTTAAGACCCTCATTGTTCACAGCCGGTTTCACTAAGGATAAAAATGTCTGCTAAATGCATTAATTTAAATGTAAAATGCATAAATGTAAATGCCCCTAGCTCTAGTTTTGTTTTAAAAAACTTTTTAAAAAAAAATTTTTATGGGAACTCCAAAAAAAGAGTTCAAAAAAAAAAAAAAAAAACGTAATTTATTTAAAACGCACTTTTAAAATGAGTCTTAAAATATTCAAGTTTAAATAAAAATATTAATTAGCAGTTTTTATAGTGATTAGTAGCTTATTTTATTGTTTGTTTGTATTGTATGATTATTAATAATTTTAAGTCATGATGTGGTAATGAGGTCTGAATGAATGACTGACAGAATAAATTATTAAATGAATGAATGAAAATAAAAAAATATTAAAGTCACACAAATTCAAATAGGAAATATATTGATTTGTAGTTGTTTTAAATTAGTTTAAATATTGTATTGTATGATTTTAAATCATTTTAAGTCATTATTGCCCTCTAGTGGACTGGTTTAGAACCACTGGCTTTTCTCACCTTCTGGAAGGCCAGAGTGGATTCGTCTCCGTACTGGTTACGGAAATAATCGTACATCCCGAAATCCGTCTGTCGTCCCAGCTGATCTCTGGACTTACAGTCTGGGATGCACTCGATGACGCCACACTGTGACACAAACACAGGACCTTCACATCAACCAACAACATCCAGACACAAAGCAGCTGGCGTCACACCTGCCGGACTCATTTCTCTCAGATTCGCTCTCATATATTCAAAATCAGATCAAGAATAGCACACAGACATAAACGAATATAATAAAGGGAATTATTATGCAATACAGGCAGTGAGATGTGTGTGTTTGTCTGTTCAGCTAATGCTCATGTGCCACTTCAGTGAGATTTACAATTAATAAACATGGACTGTTGGGATGTCTTATTTCATTAGTCGTGTATGTTTAGACACAGAGCAATTGCCAGTTACACAGTCAACATGGATAACAAGACGTGTTTTTTTGCTGGGTGGCAAAGGGACAGGTTTGGAGACCAGGACAACCATGAAACCCATCATTACCAATATCAAACCTAAACCTGCTTAAAATCAAAGCTAAATGATTACAATTGAAAATTGGTGGGGTGCCAGCCAGTGAAACTCAAAAATAAAAATACTGGTAATACAAAGATTTTTTAAAAAATAAAATAATTTTTAAATTAAATAATAAGTTAAATAAAATAAAATAAAAATTTTAAAAAACTAAATTTAACATTGAAAATTACAAATAAAATAATAATCAAAAAAATAAAAATAACTCACCCCTGGCGCTGTAGCGACCACCCTATATGGAAAAACGAACAGATCGAGTCCCACCAGCTGGAAAATGTTCTTAAACAGACCGATGATCTGCAACGCCAACATATCCTGGAGAGAGAAAGTAAATAAATAAAATAAAATAGAGGGGAAAAAAAACGTCTGAAACACTTAATCAAACATTTTCCACTTAAATACGAATTTATTTATTTTTTATTATACACTTTTTCCATTATATCAGTTAAATGTGCTTTAAAATATTTAAGTACAATGCATTTGTTAGCTCATGTTTTCTATAATATCTTAAAATATTTTGATTTATATTATATACTGTACATGTTTCTGCTGTTTGAATATAATTTGCTTTCACAGATTGGCATGAGATGATGTGTTACATTTTTACAATAATCAACTCCTTCACAAACTATTACACTTCTGTATGCAATTCATCTTGTGCATTAGTAACTAACAGGTGTGAGTATATATACAGTATCAGCTATTTTACAACAGCTTCGAGTCACTGGTTTATCTAATCGGAGTTCATAGTCAAAACATAAATTGATATGTAAATAAGGGACGGCAAAAGCAAAGCTTATGAAACCTGTCTGCAGTCGTCTCCGACTTTAAAGATAGCCGCCTGCCAGCAGATCTTCTGTGTGTCTTCTCCACTCTGAGCTTCATCCAACGAGTCGGAGCGACACAGCAAGCCTACAAACACACACAAGCTTTGATTCGGTGTCATTCATGTGTTAGCAAGCTTGAAAAGCACCATAACCCATTAGACTTTCATCTTCACACATTTCTACAATTACTATTTTGAAAAGCCATGTCATGCATTTAAAGTTGGAAAAAATTTTCATCTTAATTGTATTTTATTTTATTACATTTTCATTTCTAATCATTATTTATGCAATATTTATTTTTTGTGTGTTTTTTATGCCATGTCATGCATTCAAGTTGGAAAAATCTTTTTATTATATTTTACATTTGTTTTTTTATTTAAAGCTTCATTTCTGCCACTTATTCTGTCATCTGTTTGCATACTAAAAACTGTGATTATTCAATTTGTTCTTTCATTTATTTATGTTTTGTATGGTTGTTTTCACCATGGGTCAAAAAAAGGGTAAATGTGACTTTTTATCTCACTATTTTTTTTTTTTCTTCCTCACAATTCTTTGGTTTCAGAATTGCGAAATATAAACTTATTCTGAGAAGTCTGAATAGTGAGATATAAAGTCACCACCAAGAAAAAAAAAAAAAAAGTAAAAATTCTGAGATAAAAAGTTGCAATTTTTAATTTATTTTTCATTCCATGCTGGTAAAAAAAAAAAAAAGAAAAAAAAGATTTTTGTGGTTTTTAATTCACAATTCTGTTTTATTTTCTCAGAATTTTGAGATATAATCTCGGAAATCGCAAGGAAAACATCAGAATTCTAAGATATAAACTCAGAATTGCTAGGAAAAAAGTCAGAATTTCTTTTCTTTTCTTCCCCTTTAATTCCATGGTGGAAACAAGCTTCCATGATACTGAGCATTACTATCAATCTGTCTATAAGTGGGTTTTCTGCTGCCTTCCAAGCACTGCTGTTTTCTTCAGGAATTACAGAATTAGGTCCGTGTTGTAATAGTTGACGTACCCTCTTTCTCCAGTTCACTCACTCCACAGCGTTTCACCTTGAATTTGGCCAGATACGGCGCTTTGGCAGCACTGAGAGGAAAAAACACACAGAAACATGTTTTCTTGTGCATCAAACACACGTGACGCTGTGTGATGTGTTCAGCGCTCATTGTACCTCTGCATCGGCAGTCCTGATTTATAGTCAATGTCCAGGACTATAGCTTCAGGGTTACTGGGCAGATAACAGCCTGAGCAACAGACCAAAAGTCAGTCAAGTCATTAAGAGAGCTTGTAATATCAGATTATGGAGGAGAAATTCAGACCTGGCTGGACTTTGATATCAGACAGGGCTCGCAGACACGCTCTCTTCCGCTCGTCACCTTTAGGAATCGGCCTGAAATACGAAAAACACAGAGGAGATTTCAGCTTCAAACACAAGACAAGAAAATGAAAACAGTGGAGAATCAGCGCCATCTCGAGACTGAAACAGGAGGTGCAGAAAGAGTGTTCAGTGATGTTAGAGATGTTTCTAGTACTTTAGAATGGCTGAGACATTGGTGATCTTGTTGAAGAAGTCAAACTCGCGCTGGTAGAAATCTTTAGCTGGACCCGAGAGAGAACCGATGATCTCTTCAACCAGCTGCTCCAGAAGATCGCCGATGTCAGCTAGAAAACAGAACAAATAAATATGTCATTGAAGAGCACTGGGTCGTTCACATTAAGAACAGTAACTTTTAATAATAAAGCAAGGTTTATAAAATCACAGAGAATACGAGAGAGAACCGATGATCTCTTCAACCAGCTGCTCCAGAAGATCGCCGATGTCAGCTAGAAAACACAGAACAAATAAATACGTCATTGAAGAGCACTGGGTCGTTCACATTAAGAACAGTAACTTTTAATAATAAAGCAAGGTTTATAAAATCACAGAGAATAGCAGAGTTCACAACAATAATGACAGAAACTTGTACTTTCAGAGTGATTTTTTTTAAGCTGATGAACGATAAAAACACTGACAGCCAATCAGAATTCACCTAACTTTAAAGTCACGATGAAATGGTGACTTACATCCAAGTGTAACAGATAATTGAAAAATGTACAAAAAAATAATAATTTCAGCCAGTTGCCAAAGATTCTCATTTTAATTTCACATGGTCTAAAATAATTGAAACTCTAATAAAAACTACATACACACACACACAAAAAAAAAATGACTAAAACTTGAACCAAAAATTAAAATGAAACAGAAAATATAAGAATAAAAACTACATACACAAAAAATACAAATAAATAAAAATAACTTTAACCAAAATTAAAATGAAACAGAAAATATAAAAATGAAAACTAAAATGTTAATTGAAAACATTTAAAAACATTACAAATATTTTATATTAATTAAAATATTAAAAATATTAAAAACATAAAAAAAGCACATTACACATGAAATCTCAAAATATTAATTAAAATCTACAGTAGCATCTTAACACTAAAATAACACTGGTTTGCAGGGGTGGAGTTCAGGTGAAATAAATGATCGAAGCCGGATATATTCGCTGGAAAATCCATTATGACATTTTTTAAAATGAAACATGCACGAATTAATCGTTCACAATAAGATCTATGACATGCATTTGCAAAACAGATTGGGTGAATTGTCATTTCATGCCGACTTTAAAAAGCTTGAATGTTTAAAGTGGCAGATGGCAAAACTGTAAGTACTTAAGTTTGTGTGGACGCTAATATAGTTATCGTTCTTGGTGCAAACAGGCTTTAAAGCCAATGATAGTGAAGAGGAGCTTTATTTACGGTCTTTCTGGTGTCCCTCCTCATCTGTGTAGATGTTGGTCTTCATGTTCCAGATGAACTGATGCGCCAGAAGCTGAGACTTCTGTGCAGCCCACAGGATGTATTCTCTCACGTACCCCATCTACACAACATTACACAACAGCATCATTAGTGCACTCACCTGTCAGAGAAGAGAAAACCAAGAAATGCAAAACATGGCCAGCATACAACATACGAGTCATACTTATGAAAAACATTAAAATGATGCATGCAACTTGATTTATACCTTTTTAAATCTCACTCTGGACATGCAAATCATTTTGGCATTATTTGTCCTTATTACTTTTAAACTTCATACATACACACACACACACACACAATACCTTGTCATAACGGAGGGCCTGAACAATTTGTGGGATGTAAAACAGAATAGCATCCTGTTGAAAATATGAGAGAGAGAAATATGCATTAATAAAAGCACTCAAACTGACCTCGGATAAAGACGTATAATAACATGAGTGTAATGACAGGTGTGGCGTACAGGAGGGAAGGAGCGCAGGACTTTGACGGCGTACTGTGCGGTCAGCGGATGCGGCGGATACATGCTGGAGAAATACGAGAGTCCCGTGGGAGGATCGGCCGGAGCCCAACACAAGATATGACTCAGCTCAGGAGAATCAGCGTCGATCGTGTGCCACGTCACTAAAAACTGCAGTGGCAAAAACACACGTTTACAGTCAGCGGTAGATGCACATTTGAGTGAGAATTTATGCAATTATTATATTCACATTAAATAAACAAATAAATCATTAAAATACTTTTTAAAAGAACTTAAAATGAATAAATAATTAGACTAAAATAAATTTTTAAAATGTGATTAATATAACAATACATTTAGATTAATATAAATTTAAAAAAAAATTTATGTTAGAAAAAAGTCAAACACATTTTTATTTATTAATTTTATTGCAATTATTTATTAAAATTTTAACCTAATTTTGAAATCACATTTTATTTATTTATTTTAATAAATTAATTTAATCTAATTAATAGGTATAAAATAAATAAATAAAATAGGTATACATAAATTGTTGAATTGTTAGAAAAATAATGCACACCCGAGGTGCATCACCACCTCAGGTGTGCATTATTTTTCTAATAATTCAATGGCCCGTCGTCAATTATTCCTTACGTAAACCATGGCTTCTTGGGGCTAATTGCTTTATTATTACCTTTAAAAATAAATCTAACTGACCCAAACACTGGAACAGTAGTGTAGTTTGATAAACGTCTCACCTGGCCGGCAGCTGTAGTGCGAGGTACGGCGAGATGCTCCACGCTAGATTAACGTTGTCCTTCCACTGTTTCTCGGTCAGGCTGATGTATTTGGACCTCCAGTTGGTGATGCTGGTCTCCACAGACTGTTCGGCTGAGATCTGCAGCTCCTGGCTGCCCAGAGGATTGTACCAAGTGGTCAGACGCTCCACCTCACTGGCCTAACAACACACAAGAGCTCGTTTGCTTTAATCATTGACTAATTAAACACTAAAACGGCAATATTCATCTTGGCAGGCTTTATTAATATGATAACTTTAATCTCACCAGCAGGGCCAGCAGCAGCGTTCTGCGTTTCATGAAGTATTTATGCAGCTGAGTTCCTCTGTTCGTCTTCTTTAACAGACCTACAAGAGACAAGAATTTAAAAGGTCACACGATGAAGAAAATCTTGCAGGATTGTGAGCAAATCTCAAAAAATAAAAAAAAATAAATGTGCACTAGCAATGAAATGTTTGGACACTCATGACTGAATGTGTCCACAGAATACTTAAAAGTATTTAAATCAATGCATTATTATTTATATATATATTTGAAATGGAGAACATTAGCTATATTTCATTTTGTAATTGTAGAATTTATTAATTTAATATATTAATACTAGTAATTAGGGATGCACCGATACCGATACTGGTATCGGTATCTTTAAATATTTAAGTATATTTATTTATATATTTGAAATGGAGAAAATTAGCTATATTTCATTTTGTAATTGTAGAATTTATTAATTTAATATTTTAATACTAGTAATGAAATTAAATCATTGTTTTGTTAATTAAAAATAAATTAATACATTTTAATAATTTAATAATTAAACAACAACTCACATTAATTTAATATATACGTTAAAAAATAAAAATAAAAAAACAAGCAGCTTTGCCATAATTACAGCATGAAGTTGGCTGATGAATGGACTGAGTGACAAAGTTGAACTGAATTTAATCAAAATTGAACTGAATTGATCTGTATAATGACACTATTGTCGTCTGTATAGTTGCTTTATACTTGAAATGTTTCATAATTGATGATTTTTGCAACATTAACCCTGTTATTTTCCTGTTCATTACTGTGAAGCAATGAAACAATCTGTATTATATAAAAGAACTATAGAAAAATTCAACTTGAAGAACAGCTTAAATAAAAGTGTTTGCATTAATCTAATAAAGAATGAGCAGTGAGTGTGAGTGTGTGTGTGTGTGTGTGTGTGTGTGTGAGAGTGTGAGTGTGAGTGA